CTTCCCCTAATCCTCCCATCTCCTTCTTTATACCATGAGTTTGGCACTTCCCTGCTGTCTGATAATTGTTTTACCTTTGCATATTTACATACCTCCATTAAAATTCTTATAATCCTCTCCTTATTAAAGGTATGGACCCATTCCTCCAACTTTCGGTGTCCACCTCAGTACATGTAAATAGTAAACCACTTATAAGTGCTTGCTTGATTGATTTATATCTGTAGTTAACTTAGAAATACTAGTAAATTGATAGATTCAGCTTTTTATAACCCTTTCCAATAACGCAATTAAAATTGCAATGAGTCCCCCTGTATTTTAAATTTGTCTTTGGCAATTTCAAGTTTTACACGCTCATATAATTATAACTTATGCTCATAATTTATTTTTTCCATCCTTCCTCCCCCAAAATAAAAATGTTTATGAAACAAAAAATCTTGTGACTTTTTGGTGATATCTAACCCCAATCAAGAAAGAGATGAAGTTTCATTGCTCTCTTCTTGTTGCTGAGGTACAGGAGGGTATTTTTTCTCTTTATGCCTTTTTCCTTTCATGCCAAGGTATATTCTATTTCCTTCTTTACTGACCATACCCCTTGGAAACCTTTGATATATATATATATATATATATATAATTTAGCCTGTCTTTGGTAATCTCCTTAAATACTTCTTTTTGAGCCACTCTTGCCCCATCCAATCATTTACCGTATTTAAATTTCAAAGTCTCTCTTAGTCTGCATGATAATGGCCTCTTCTTAAAGCCTGAGCCTGCTTCTTTAAATTCGGCAACCTTCAAGTGGCCAATCTTTAATTACCAGGGCTAATGAAATGTACAAAAATATCAGATTACCTACAAAACACACATACACACACACACACACACACACACAATCAATTTTAAAAAATGACATCTGGCTTTGGAATATGTCATATGTGCCTTTGGGCAAGATTTAATTTATTACAATAATTATGTTTTTACTTAAGCCAACATTATTAACATTTTCTTTTAAGATGATGGGTATCTGCTTTGGTTTTAAATCTTGATGTAGTTAATTTAAAAAAAATCAAGTATCAACTGTGATTTTTTTTTTCCTATGAAGCTCTTTTAACTAGCTTTTTCAATCTGTTAAAATCTGTCATAAAATCTGGTTTCTGTTTTCCCTGATTTATCTTCTCCCTTTTCTTGGGATTCTGATCCAAATCAGCTTTCCTATGTTAATTTACTTCTTCAATTTAAAGTGCCATTTGCTTGCGAACGCAAAGCATTTTAAAATATTAAGTGTCCAGGGAAATTTTTAGTCCAGATAACACATGATAAAAAAAACATCACTTTTTTTTGTTTTGTTTTGTTTTTGTTTGTTAGATATTCCAGGAAAAGTTGGGTTTCTAAGATAAATTTCACTGGTAATTCCAGCAAATTATATTTAGTAGGATATTATGATTGGTTGAAAATGAATATTGGACAGCTATGTAAGTCAACTCCATCAATACTTAATCCCATGGACCAAAACTATGGAATTAAATTCCCAATATAGACATTTGTAGAAAATAACATCAAAACAAACTCACACATCAACCCTGGCCCTTCTGTCCCCAGCCTAAACTCAGCACCCACCTCAGTCCTCATCTCTGCTTCACTTCTACACCTAAGTTTTAAATGTATGAGAAACACGACTGAGTTAACAGGCTCTTCTGTTTCCAGTTACTGCCATTAAGCTTTTGGCCAGAGATCCCTCATCCTCAAGTTTACATGAGTGTTTTTTACTTTACAGGTACTCATCTAAATGTAAGTTATAGTGATAGTGCTTGAACTGACTTTTTCACACACTAGCCTCCATATTGCCAGCAGAATGAAGAGTAAATTCATTTTTAATTTTCTCCCATGTGGAACTTTGATAAGTACAAATTATTTTACCTAAAAAAAAACCAACTTTTGGGCTGGTGGAAGTTAGCCCAAATTCTTACGTAAAATGTTAAATATTACCACTGCCCCAAATTTTTTTAACAGCAATCTGCCTCAGTCCTCAAACGCAGTAAGTTCTATAACTTTTTTTTTAAAAAAAATTCTTTTCACGGTGCCTAGTCACATTTTGACTAAAATACCTACACAGACCCGCAAGTTCTCAGTGTTTCAATTTACTTCTTCAGGTTGCTGCCTTCACCAAACACATAACTCCACAAGTCTCAAAATTACTGTCTCCCCAATCTGGGTGTCCACCAATACACACTGTTCTCAAGGGAAAGTAAATTAAAAGGTAACGCAACTGGTAAGAATTCTTTTCTTCTTTTAAAAAATGAACCTTAGCTTTTAAAATCTCTTGTCTTGATGGAGTTCAAAATAGTACAAATCCTTTGAAGAAACACTTGTCACCTTATGGGCACTTCAAATCAGCCCCACCAAGAGGCATTTTTTTCTGACAGCCCAAGTACCCCAAATAGGAGTCACCAGGTCTTCCGTGGGTGGTAAATTTCACATACACACACATACACCACACCACACACCACACACACAAAAAGAAACATACCTGGTCATTTTCTAAACAGGTTTGATAGGTTTGGTTCACTTGTAAGCGCAGAGTGTTTGCTTACAGTCTTTTTAAAGCAGAAGTGGCAGCCAGAACACTGGGTAAACACAAACTTGAGTTTTTAAAGCCCTGCATCTCTTAACTCTCCACTTCCCCTTCGTTCGAGGGGGGGCCGGCACACACACACACACACACACACACACACACACACAGCACACCCTAGGGCAAAGGAGATTATGCAACAGGTTTTCCCTCTCCGCGGGATGCATCGCCCGCCACTCAGAAGTGTGCTTTCTCACAACAATCTGACACCCGTAAACTCCAGGGCCTCTGCAGCGAACGTGTAATCATCGGGTTTAGCATTCTGCACACCCCATTGCCTTTAAGATCTACCCATAGTTTGTCAAGTTAACTGCGTGTGTGTGCGTGTGTGTGTGTGTGTGTGTGTGTGTGTTAGAAAATAAACCCCGGTGTTGCCTAAATAGTTCCCTCCCTGGTGTTTTATGACATGAAACCACACATGATGATAAACAGATCTTCGGTTGTCTCCTCGGGTTTTTTATGAGTATGTTTTGTTTTGTTTTTCTTTTCTCGTGTTTTAGGACTAGTGTGAATAAAGAAGTCACAGGCACCCTGGGTCCCCCAACATCATGCACGCCTCGGGGCTCTCGATTAAAAAACTGGGTTGTCGGTGGGTCGGTTTGGTCTGAGCGAGCAGCGCCGTCACCCCGAGGGCGAGCCGGGGAGAACGGGGGCCGGCAGGCCGGGGCCCCCGGGGCGGGCGCGCGGGCGGGCGGCTTGTGGAACAGACGCGTCCGGGAGGGAGCCGCTTCGCCCGCGAGCGTCCCGCGTCCCGGACCCGCGGGCGGCCCGGCCCCATCGCACCCGGCACCGCAAGAGACCCCGCGCCGGCCGCCCGCCCGCCCGCCCGCCCCCTCCCCGCGCCGGCCGGCCGGCCGGCCCCCCAGCCAGGCCTACACCCCCCCTCCCCAACCCCCGCTTCAAACGCTCGGTGGCCCGGGCCGCAGCCGCCCCCACCCTGCCTCCCCACAAGGTTGGCGCGAACGCCGGGCGGGCACGGAGCGCGGCGCCCGCCCCGGAGCCACGGGCGAGCGGCGGAGGCGGAGGTCCACGCCGGCCCGCGCCCGCGCCCTCCCGCCCGCACAAGCCCGCGCGGCCGGCCCGAGGCCACTTACTTGCGGGGCCGCCGACCTCCCGACTCCCTCGGGAGGGGGAGAGGGGCGGGGGACGAACGTTGTCGCGGCGGCAGCGGCGTCTCCCCGCGGCCCCCGCGCCGCCGGGACCTGCGAGGCGCCGCGGCGGAGCCCGTGGGGCGGCAGCGCTCCCGCTCGCGTGCGTCCGTCCGGCCGGCCGCGCGGTCGGTCCTCGTCTTCGCTTCACTATATTATCTTCTCCTGCTCGGAGGGGTGGGCGGGGGCGGGAGGGAGGCTTAGGGAGAAAAGAGACGTTTGCAGATTTTTCTTCAACCCCCCCCCCCCACCTTCCCCAAGTCAGCCTTGAAGAAAAAAAAAAAATGTTGAAAGGAGTGAAGTTGGGGAGGTGGATGGAGGTGGGGGCCGCCGCGTGGGGGACGTGGAGGCAGGCGGGGAGGAGAGGGGATGATAATCGTTTAAAAACTGTCCAAAGCCGTCCCCCCCAAAAAAATAAAAATAAAAATAAAAAAACAGGGGTACACAGAAAGGGGGGGGGGGGGAAGGCGACGGTGGGGGGGCGGGAAGGGGGGTTGGGGGTAAAAAAGAGAAGGAGTCGCTGGTCAGGAAACTTCAAGCGCGGATGAGGTCATTGGTTTAAAAATAAAGAGATGGCGTCACTTGAAACCAATCCCAGTGAATGAACTCAGCGGAGCCCGGAGGGGGGGAGAGGAGGAGACAGGCGAGGGCAGGGCGGGGGGCGCCGGGCGGGGCCGCGCGCTCCGCCGCCTCCTCCGCCGCCCGCCCATCCCGCGGCCGCCCGGGCCCCCGCGCGCGCGCGAGGGGAGGGTCGGGTCACGTTCCGCCGCCGCCGCCGCCGCCGCCGCCGCCGGAGTTGGGCGACTCCGGAGCAGGTTCCGCAGGCGCCGCTGGGAGGAGCCGGGCGGCCGCGCGCTCTCCTCCCGACGCGCCCGCGCGCCGCCGCCGCCCGCCCCCCCCCCCCCCAGCTCCGGGCCCGCGACCTCCCCGGGGTCCGAGCGCCCTGGCTACGCGCACTCGGCGCTGCGCCCCAGCAGGTATTTCAAGGGTTTCCCCCCCACGACCCAGGTCCCAGAACCCAGGACCCGGCAGCGCCTTTTCCTCCGGCTTGGGCTGTTTCCAGCGGCCTCAGCGGCGTGAAGAAACGCAACAAACAATGATTTGGGAGAATTACAGCCACTCTTTTTTTTAAAAAAAAGTCTGACGAGGAAAGAGAATGGGCAGGTCCTTGAAGAAAAATCGCGCTCGATGTTGTCAGGCGTTAATGTTTGTGGTTGAATGCTCCCCCACACACACCCACCCACTCCCATGAATGTTCCCAACATTATTTTACTTGGCTTATATTTTTTTCTTATACTTGTTTATATGTTCAACTTGAATGAGCATGAGCAGCCAAAAACAAAATTCTAAAAAATGTTTTCTACATGGAATAGTGCAGAATCGTCTTTAAATCAGACCAGAAGTTCACTGCCTCTGGAGGTGCCTGGCCCTGTGATGTAGCTCTATACCCTTGGTGCATTTTTCTTATTTTGGATTCATTTACAAATGGCTTTGTTTTGGAGACACATTGCACACTTTGAAAAACTGGAGATCTGAGGTGGTGACAAACCAGGACGTGGAATCACTGAATAGGACAATCGGAGCTTTATTCTAGTTGTTCTTTGAGCATTTGAGCATGAAGCTGCCTCTACTGAGAAGTACTCACGTGGATATCACATAACAAAGATGTGATTAATGACGGAAAAGCACACTGAGAACGGACTGCTCCGGGCCAGAATTTATGTGTAGGAATAATCTGGCTCCTAAAATATTCCATTTGCAAAAATGTACTACATTTGGGACCTTGGTCCCTCAAGGCATCTGTCTTGTGGAATGTCCATGTGGACACTGCCTAAGGGACTTTTTTTTTTTTTTTTTTAATTGGCTCAAGAACAGAGAACCAGGTTTGGGTGGATTAGAAAGATAAAACGTCTCCATACTGTCTTTTCTGCCTTTAACGCACACTGGCTAGGATTGGTAAACATTTAAGGTTAGCATTACCTCTGGGAACTTCCAGCTCGTCTTCTAGAGGAGAAAAAAAGGAGTCCATTTGGAAATGGGAGACCACTGAGCACTTCACCTGGTCAAAAAGCAGGAGGCCCATGGATGGAGAGCCCACATTCTACTGTCTTTGACCTCTAAGACTCCAGCTAAGGGGAAGCAATCTCTCTCCCGCGGCTCCCTGTCCTCTGGTGGCCAGCAGGTGTTACTGCAGCTTGCATGGGATTATCTGAGCTCAAGGAAACCTCTAAAAATCTAGCCATAGACCTGCTGGTTTTAGAACAGTTTTGAAGGGGTAGTTGGAAAGGATCTGCATCTCAAGTCTGCGTAGCTGGAGGAGCTGGGATTTGGGGAAAGGGAGGAAAAGAGAGAGAATCCTTGTCCTAGAGGTAGAGAGCATGGATCTTGCCTGGCTGGTTGAAAGGCTCCTTTACATGCTGCAGTAACACAATAAGTTATAAACACTAGGTGATTTATCACTTATCAATTTAGCAAAGATTGTTAAAATAGTTAATCCCAGGATTGGGTCAAGAGTGAAGAAACGGGCCTTCTTATTACCACAGGTTGGAGTATGAATTGGTATATGTGTTCTGCAGGGCAACTTGGCAGTGTGTTTTAAAAATAGACACCCAGCAATTCCATTTTAAGAATTTATCTTAAGGAGATAACAGTGCTATTTTCAAAGACATATAAAGAAGGATATTAATCATAATCTAAAGGGTAGCTAACATTTATTGAAAACTAATCACTTAATCCTCACAACCATTATTACCTCCATTTTACAGTTAACATGCTCAAGGTTGCACAGTAAATGGAAGGGCTGGGATCTGAATATCCTGTACTACACACCTAAGTGGAATCAATATTATAGAGGCCTTATAAGCTATGCCAAAGGAGTCAGGCTTTAAAGACTTAAGGTAAGCAATGGGGAAGTCACTGAATGATTTTAAGTAGGAGAAATGACAGGATCAGATCTGCATTTTGCTATATAAAGAAAGGTTTGGTGGGGAGGACATAAAGCAAGATAAGAGACACTTGTATAAGTTAGAGAATTAAATATAAGTAAAGGCAGATTCAAAAGATATTTTAAAAAATAGAATCAAAAGGGTTTGGTGACCAGTTAGATCTGAGCTGTTAAGGGGGAAGGTAGTTTGGCTGACTCCTAGATTTCTATCTTGAGCTAATGGGTGAATAATAATGTTGGTTGGTGTGGCAGTTGGAGAGGTGGGAAGTTGAAAATTTTTTTTAAATATATTTTTATTGATTTCAGAGAGGAAGGGAGAGGGAGAGATAGAAACATTAATGATGAGAAAGAATCATTGATTGGTTGCCACCTGTACACCCCCTACTGGGGATGGAGCCCGCCATCCAGGCATGTGCCCTTGACCAGAGTCAACCCTGGACCCTTCAGTCCGCAGGCCCACGCTCTATCCATTGAGCCAAACCAGGTAGGGCAGGAAGTTGAATTTTAAGCATGTTGACTTCAAGGTGTCTGTGGAATCTCTCAAGCAAGCATGTCAAATTTGTGACCAGCGGCTGAGGCATGCAGCCTGGCGGCCTCGAGTTTGACATACTTGCATCTATGTATCTGAAGCTCACCAACCCTGTTTAGCCAGGAGATAAAGATTTGGGATCCCTTTGGCATATTTAGTTGCAGTCATGGCCAGGGGATGAGATCATGCAGTGAGAGTAAAAGAAAGGTGTTGGGAATCAAGGGAACACTGATGTTTCAAGAAGAGAAGCCTACAGGGAGGCTGAGAAGGAGAAACTAGAAAAGCAGTGGACATTGCTGTTACAGAAAGCCAAGAAAAGAAAGTTGCAAGCAGGAAAGAGCATATTTCCAGTGAGTTAATACTTAGAGAAGCCCCATTAGATAGATTAAAAAGTCTTTGATTTAGCAATAGTGACTGTGGAGAGAATGGTTTAATTGACGACAATCTTGCTTCTGCAAGACTTCAGTGAGTTGAAAAGGGAATAAGAAGGAAGAAAATGGAAACAGTAGAATAAAAACTACTCTTTCAAAAAGCTTGACTGTTAAGAGGAGGGGGTGGGGGAAGGATAATGCCTAGCTACAGACAGATATAGGACATTTAAACCCTACAAAGATCCTAATGTCCTGATAACCAGACTGTTTGTTTTGATTTAATCAAACAATTAATTATAAACAAATAATAAAGAAGTACCCTGAGAAATTATAAGTTCTCACTTACAAACTCAGGAAAGTAGCAGATGGACTTTTGCTATCTACAACCCAAACATTATTTTCAGTATTATGTAGGACATACATTTGGGGTTTAAGTCGAGGTTGTTCTAACAAGTCTTTTAATAACTGTGAAGTAAAATATTAAGAATAAAAGAACTATCATTCTAACATGAGGTGCATTCATCTTTCAAAAGGTTGAAAAATTCTTGTATAACCAGAAAAGAATGATGGTGGTAGTAGGAGGGAAAGTAAACAAATGAAAGGCTAAAAAATATTTGTGAATTTTGCTTCTTTTCTTGTGATCCTAAAGGAAAATAATTGGAATGAACACAGTGATTCCATTTTTGCTCTAATAAAAGGATATAAAAGTAAATGTCTGTTTTGGGAGATCAGGGATTTCTAAGTAATTTTTCCATTTTCTGAGTAAATATAGGTTTCAAGTTCTCAGTGGCTTTCTGGACTAACAATGATAACATTCAATAACATTCGTTTTTATAAATGTAAATAAACATTTACCTTTAGGAACAAACAGTCTTTAACAAGTAACTTAACCTCTGTTTAGTGTTGGTAAAATAGCAAAATAGGATATTCTGACTCAGTCACAAAAAAGTACTTTTTAACTTTGTGTAAAATCTGTTTTTTAATGTATGGAAGATAAAGGTCTAGTCTTCTTCAGGTGATTGAGTTTTAGAAATATCTTAAACTGCTACTGTTAAAAAAAAAAACAACTTATAAATTAAATGGAATTTGAAAATAAACTAACATTGCCATCCTGTATAATAAAGAGGTAATATGCAAATTTACCCTCACACAAAATGGCCACTCCCATGTGGTCAAAGATGGCCACCACAAGATGACTGGCAGAGGAGGGTAGTTATAGGCAATCAGGCCAGCAGGGGAGGGCAGTTATGGATGACCAGGTCTGCAGGTGAGGGCAGTTGGGGATGACCAGGCCTGCAGGGGAGGGCAGTTGGGTGCAATCGGGCCAGCAGGGAAGCAGTTAGGCATCGATCGGGCTGGCAGGCAGGCGAGCAGTTGGGAGCCAGCAGTCCCGGATTGTGAGATGGATGTCCAACTGCTGGTGGGTTCCAGATTGGAGAGGGTGCAGGATGGGCTGAGGGACAACACACACACACACACACACACACACACACACACACACACACCTGAGCCCAGTGCACAAATTTCATTCACGGGGCCTCTGGTGTTAAATAAAATACACAACAATCAACTCTTTTGTACATGTTTTATACTGGGTTTTTAACTCTTGTAATAACCCTAAGAATTAGGTATTATTATTATCTTCCTAATTTACAGTGGAGGGAGTTAAGGCTAAGAAAGGGGTTAAAGAGTTAGCCCAAAGACATATAGCTAGGAAATAGCAAGTTAGAATCCACAGGAGGTTTTGTTAAGATAAACAAAATTACAATATATATGGCATTAAAAATAACAAAAATACAAAATAGAAGGCATTCAAAATAACATTATAAGAAATCTTAGAATGCACTTCTATGATTATTGGTCCAGTTTACCCAGATATGTGCTACAAAAGCTGGTGGAAAATGAGAGTTCACTGAGCTGAGACAGGATAGCAGGCTACAAATTCCAGCTACTGACTGTGTGATTTGAGGGACACTTTGTTCCCTCATCTGTAAAATGAAGGTTATTCATACAAACCATCCAGAGCTGTTGTGAGGTTCAAATGAATACCATGTAAAGCACCAACTTAATACATAACCCACATGGTAGACAATCACTACATACTGATTCCTCCCTTTTTAGGAATACTATGTAGAGCTGACTTAGATATTGAACGATAGAGTCAATTGGGATATTAAAAGAATGGGGAAACTCACAGGAAGAGAAAACACACAGAAACCCAGGAGGGAAAGAGTATTTAAAATGCTTTAAGTGAAGCAGAACATTTTCATTGAATTGTATATAATAAGCCTGGAAAGCAGTTTGGGGCCAGAGTATATAGGGCCTAAGTCAAATAATTTAGCTTTTATAAATATCAGGGAATGGCAGAAAGTTTGACAGACTCAGTGAGCACCAAAGCCCCACTGAAGCAAGTCTTGCCCCATGAGGGTATCTTCAGCACAGAAGTTCCCCCATCATAGACACAATTGATCCTCACAGCCAATTGGCGTGGATGTCAATTCCTCCCAGTGATACCAACAACAATTAAGGCTTAACTAAAATAAGACTGTGCACACAGCCCACAAAGGGGTGCACCAAGAGTGTCCACCTCAGGTAATTAGGGAGACTGAGCCACTGGGCCCTATAGGACATCTAGCACACAAAGCCATGCTATCAACACAGGGAAGCAGCCAAAATGTGGAGACAAAGAAAAGGGTCACAAATGAAAGAAATGGAGGAAAACAAACCACTGGATATAGAGTTCAAAACTACAGTTATAAGGTTACTCAAGAATCTTCTTGAAACCACAATAAATTTAGTGAGACCCTTGATGATATGAAAAAGGATCAACTAGAAATTAAGCATGCACTGACTGAAATTAAGCATGCACTGACTGAAATACAGAGATCCAACAGACTAAAGGATCCCAAGAATCATGTCAAAGACTTGAAATACAAAGAAGCAAAAAACACCCAACCAGAAAAGTAAAAAGAAAAAAAAATTCAAAAATATGAAGATAGTGTAAGGAGCCTCTGGGACAACTTCAAGCATACAACCATCCAAATTATGGGGGTGCTAGAAAAAGAGAGAGAGCAAGATATTGAATACCCATTTGAACAAATAATCACAGAAAACTTTCCCTTCCTGGTGAAAGAAATAGATTTACAAGGCCAGGAAGCACACAGAACCCCAAACAAAAGGAATCCAAAGAGGACCACACCAAGACACATCATAATTAAAATGCTAAGGGCAAAAGACAAAGAGAAAATATTAAAAGCAGCAAGAGAAAAACAGTTACCTACAAAGAAGTACCCATACGACTGTCAGCTGATTTCTCAACAGAAACTATGCAGGCCAGAAGGGAGTGGCAATACATATTCAAAGTGATGAATAGCAAGAACCTACAACCAAGATTATTCTACCCAACACAGCTATCATTTGGAATTGAAGGTCAGATAAAGAGCTTCACAGATAAGAAAAAGCTAAAGGAGTTCATCGCCACCAAACTATTATATGAAATGCTGAAGGGTATTCTTTAAGAAGAGGAAGAAGAAAAAGGTAAAGATAAAAATTATGAACAACAAAGTGACAATAAATACATAACTATCAACAAGGAAATCTAAAAATCACATGAATAAAAAATCTGACTAACAGAATAAACTGATGAATAGAATAGAATCAGAGGCATAGATAGGGAGTGGACTGACAATTCTCAGAGGGAAAGGGAGTGTGGGGTGTGGGAAAAGACTGGACAAAAATCATACACCTATGGACAAGGACAGTGGGGGGCATTGGTAAGGGCAGAGGGTAGGATGAGAACCCAATGGAGGGGATCTATGGGGGAAAATAGAGGAACAACTGTAATAATCTGAACAATAAAGATTTATTAGTAAAAAAAAAATATTGCTGCCATTACACTGTCCAAGGATAGACTGCTGGGGACATTTGGGAGTAACTTCTCTGGTTTAAAGGTTTGGACTTAGAAATGGATAGGATAAAAGTGGGATTTTAGGTGGCTTAATCTGACCAAAGCATATTAGAAAGATATAAAAAATAAAAAAGGGGGGGGGTCATGAAATAAGGTAGACTATATTGGGTTACGGCAACAATTCTGGCATAAGTCAAAAAGGGCCAAGACTCGTTCAGTGGCAATTGGCTTGGAAAGAAAACAGAAAGTGCAAGAAATAGCACAGAGGGAGAATTGAGAGGACTTGTTGATTCATGAGCTACGGAGGGTGAATAAGATGAGTAATGAAAGATGTTGTTAAGGTATTACCTTTGGCCGTTTATATAAGCTTCAATTTCCTCATTTATAAAATGGGGTTAATAATTTTACCTTCCTCATAGGGTAGTTCAGAGGATTAAATACATTATGTCTAAAACAATAACTGGAATGTATTCTCAGTAAGTGTTAGCTGTTATTGTTTTTATAGTTGTTGAATCTAGATGACTTGATTAATAACAAAATTCTTTTTTCTTTAATATTTTTTATTGATTTTTCACAGAGAGGAAGAGAGAGGGATAGAGAGTTAGAAACATCGATGAGAGAGAATCATCAATCAGCTGCCTCTTGCACACCCCCCACTGGGGATGTGCCCGCAACCAAGGTATATGCCCTTGCCCGGAATCGAACCTGGGACCTTTCAGTCTGCAGGCCGACGCTCTATCCACTGAGCCAAACCAGTCCTGGCAATAACAAAATTCTTAAAAGAAATAGGAAACAGGGTGGAGGTCTGAGGTTGAGGAAGGTGGGGTTGGCCTATATTTTATGTCAAACTTAGGTTTATGGCATACAGTGAATTTCAAATGTTCAGCAAGAAGCCACCACTGGCCAGTGATGCTTTTAACGACAGGTACATGCTAGGAAGACTCTATATTCATGAGAAGCAGACATATGGAGAGTAGATATCCACCACAACCTCCATTTACTAGTAGAAATTACCATAACTAATGCGCAGTCTCTACATGTTTCAACTTCCTGGCTGAATGCTCTCCAGACAGGACAGATAACATGGTAGCGAAGCACGAAGGTTTTGGAACCAGATCTGTTTGAATCCCAGCTTTTCTAACTATTGTCTGATTTCAGGAAAATTAACTCTCTAAGCTTCAGTTTTCTTATTTATAAAATGGGGTAATGAAAATTGTCACCTCATAAAGTTAATGGGAGGATTCAATGAAACTAGTTAAGTGAAAACCTTTAAGTGTATTAATTTCATAAATAAAATATGTAATACAAATACCAAATATGTCTATTATTCCTGAATCTCCTGGAGGTTATTAGTTATAGTTATATGTCTTTTCCACCCTTAGGGGGCCAAATGTCAGAAGCATTCTTACCTAACTTTGCCTCCTTGACATTGATTTTCAGCCTCTTCCCAGGTCTCAGTCCTTCGGGAAATTTAAGGGTTGCCCACGATTGTGTGAAATCCCAGAATGCCAGGCAGCATCTTTTGGGCAAAATGGTCTGTCAGGCTTTGTTTGGAGAAACCTTTTGTACTAGTGACCCAGTGCATAAAATACATGCACATTAAAAGGGAATTAATTAGAATAAATATTTTAATATTTGCTATTTGCTCTTTTTCTATAATAGAAGTATCAGAGATAAAAGAAAATTAGTAAAATTTATATGAAAATCGCCCTCCTGTCAGAGACTGGGCATGCCATGGGAACCAGAGTCAAGTCCCCGCTCACTCATGTGCGCCTCAAAATCGTGAGAGATCCAGACCTGGCTTGCCCCACCCCCATTCATGCACGGGAGGGGGGAAAGGGTGTTCCTCAGCCCAGCCTGCACCTTCTCCAATCTGGGACCTCTCAAAGGATGTCCTACTGCCAGTTTACAGGGATAGGATCTAAAGCGGCAGTTGGACATCTCTCTCACAATCCAGGACTGCTGGCTCCAGCTTCTCACCTGCCTGCCTGCCAGCCTGCTTGCCCCAACTTCCTCTCCTCCCACCCCCAGCCCCCGCTGGTCTGCTTACCCCCAATGGCCCTGCCCCTCACCAGCTTGATCACCTACAACTGCCATCCCATCCTGGCCTGATCACCTCCCAGTGACCTGAAGTCCTCTGTCAAACCCCAGCAGGCAGGGGGGGGGTGCGCAGCCTCATGTCTCTGCTGATTGCTTGTTAAGGCTTGTTAGGGGCACTCGGCTTCCGTTGTGGGTGCAGTCATTTTGTTATGGCATGATGGTCAATTTGCATATTCCCTCTTTATTACATAGGATTGCTGATGTAAGTGAGTTACCACAAACTTAGTGGCTAAAAACAACACAGATTTATTATCTTAAAGTTCTGGAATTCAGACATCTACACTAATCAAAGAGAAACATGCAAATTGATCACCCCTCTGCAACACCCACCAGCCAATAAGGAGCAAGTATGCAAATTAACCCAACAAAGATGTCAGCAGCCACAGTGCTGGAGCAAGCAGAGACTTGAGTGGCCCCTGGCAATGGAGGAAGCCAAGCTTCCTGCCCACCCTGGCCTCTACTGAAGGAGTGGCTGGAAAAAAAATAATAAAAGGAGGGGCTGGGAGCCCTGGCCTCCACTCAAGGAGTGGCTAGGGGTCTGGGCTCTGGGGGGTGTGGCCAGCCTGAAAATGGCCCTCAACCCCTTGCCCAGGCTGGCCACACCCCTACTGGGGTCTTGGCCAGCCTGCAAACAGGCATCAGCCGCTCATCCAGGCTGGCCATACCCCCCACCCCCACCCCCCAGTGGGGATCCTCACCCAATGAAGGCATGGCTGGGCTGCAAACCACCATAGACCCCTTGCTCACCATGCCCTATCCTGACCTGGGACATCCTTCAGGGCAAACGAACCAGCCCCCACCCGTGCACCAAGCTTCTAATCTATACTAATGAAAGGGTAATATGCTAATTAGACTGGGAGACTCTTCGGATATTCTTCTGGACAAAGCCATGGTGGCGGGGCTGAGGCTGAGGCAGAGGCAGTTGAGAGGAGGGCAGTTGTGGGTGATCAGGCTGACGGAGAGGGGGGCAGTTGGGGGTAAGCAGACCAGCAGGGGGACCGTTGGGGTGATCAGGCCATCAGTGTGGGTCAGTTGAGGGTGATCAGGACAGCAGGGGGGGCAGTTTGGAATGAGCAGGTCAGCAGGGGGGCCAGTTGGTGGTGATCGGGCTGGTGGGAGGCATTTTGGGGTGAGCAGGCAGGCGACTGGGGGCAGTTGGGGGTGCAGGCCTGCAGAATGGTTAGGGGCTATCAGGCAGGCAGGCAGGTGAGCAGTTAGAAGCCAGTAGTCCCAGACTGCAGGAGGGATGTCCAACTGCTGGTTTAGGCCTGATCCCTGTAAACAGGCAGTAGGACATTCTTCGAGGGGTCCCAGATTGGAGACGGTGCAGGCGGGGGTGAGGGACAAAACCCCCGCCTCATGCACAAATTTCATACACCGGGCCACTAATATAAAATAAGTATCTCTGGGCTAAAGTCAAGGTGTCAGCAGGGCTGTGTTCCCTGCTGGATGCTCCAGGGTTCTGGTCGGCAAACTGTGGCTCGCGAGCCACATGCGGCTCTTTGGCCCCTTGAGTGTGGCTCTTCCACAAAATACCACAGCCTGGGCGAGTTTATTTTGATGAAGTGGTGTTAGAAGAAGTTTAAGTTAAAAAAAAATTTGGCTCTCAAATTTCAATCGTGTACTTTTGATATTTGGTTCTGTTGACTAATGAGTTTGCCGACCATTGCTCTAGGGGAAAATCTATTTTCTGGCCCTTTCCAGCTTCCAGAGGCTGCTACATTCCCTGACTCATGGTCCCTTCTTCTATCTTCAAAGCTAGCAACAGTGGGTAGAGTTTTTCTCACATCACTTACCCTGATTCTCCTTTGCCCCCTTTTCTCCTAAAAAGGACCTTTGAGAGGACACTAGGCCCTCCTGGATAATCCAGAATAATTCCCCTTTGTTAAAGTTTGCTAATTAGCAACTTTAATTCCCTCTGCATTTTTAATCCCCCTTTGCCATGTAACCTAACATTCACAGGTCCTGAGGATTAGGACAAGGATTTTGAGGGACCATTATTCTGTTTACCGCACCTTCCACAAAGAAAACTTTAGGGAGGTTTGCTCCTGCTTTGTTCCTCTTCCTTTAAGACCTACCTGATTCACCAAATGATGAACCGGTAATTTGATCATTGTAATAGTCACAAGTAGGAGTTATTTCATGCTGAGATTGTTGTTCGGGTCTCAGCCTAGCTCTACTTTATGCTTAAAGATATATTGCAACAAAACACAATGAATATTAACTAGCTAAAATTTTAAAAATAAATAATGATCCCCATAAATCTTCTCCAGCATGGGGAAGAAAGGTTTATCATCAAGCATTAATTGTTATAAATGATATGAATGTCCATTTCATTTCTGAGACTAAACCACCCCACCGGTCCACAATGATCATTACCAATACAGATTTCTTATTTCTTTAACAGAACCTCAACAGCAGTGTTTAGCTCCAATTGATGATTAATGGGCAGAAGAGTATGTCTTAAGAAAAACAGGTGAAAAATATCAGGTTGAAAGGCAAAGCATGTAAATATATCAGAGTCTGGATTTTTAATTTTAAAGGGTAAAAGTCCATCAGTACTATTTTAGGAGTCCCAGGAGTTCAAGCACTGTAGTCAGAAATGGGTAAAACCTCAATACATTTAAATTTCACTTTGACATTCAGTATTTCTGTCTTTTCATTTCTTTTATCTCTGAGGCATATAAATGTGCTCAAAATAAATTGTTCCAAATCCCCAGGGAAGGTAATTTTTTAAAATGGTAATGATTCACCATAATTTTCTAGTGGATAGCTTTAGTATGTGATTGAAAGACTATCCGGCTTAAAAAACAAGGGAAGCTATCACTTAATTTTTTTTTATAATTTTGGGCAGGATGCTCAAGAGAAGGAGAGGAGAAAGAGCCAACAAGTATTGAGCATTTCTCATTGCCAAGCACTGTGTTTAAATACCATTATCTCACTTAATTCTCACTACAACCCATTAAGTTGGCCTTGTTACCCATCCACTTTAAAGATGAGAAAATTGAGGCTCCAAGATGTGAAGTGACTTCCCCAAATCCCACAGCTAAAAAGTAGCAGCTCTGGGATGAGAGTCCAATTCTACCCGACTCCGAAGCCCACAGATCCTCCCTCCACCATCCTCAACTGCTCTTTCCTGAACCCCAGGTTTCTTCACCTACAAAATAAAGGGGTTGAGTCGGAGGATCTCTGATGCTCCTCACAGCTCTCACTGAATGGCCTTCATGGTTTAGGGGGAGAAAGGGAAATCAGGAAGGGATCCCAGACACTAGGGCAAACATTGTTTTCTCCTAAGTGGGAAAGCAATGGGACCCTGTGTCCTAACTCTACTGTCCCGACTCCCTGACAGATGAAAGGAGGCTGGTGCTGCTGACAGCACCGTAAATGATGATAGGACTGCCTATGCCCACCACTTTTTAAAATATACATTTTTATTTATCTCAGAGAGGAAGGGAGAGAGAGAAATAGAAACATCAATGATGAGAGAATCATTGATTGCTGCTCCTACATACCCCCTACTGGGGATGGAGCCTGCAATCCAGGCATGTGCCCTTGCCCACCACTTTAACAAAGAGACAGGGCTTCTATTTCTCCTTGGTGGAGCTACTTTTCATAAATTCACATTTCCAAAAACATATCATCAGCACTTATTATTGAGAATCACATTGTGCCCAACACTGAAGTGTATTGAGGAGCTCCACAGAAGGTAGCAAAAGAGTATGAGTGATAGTCTGTCTTCTCAGGAACTTGCAACACAGAATTTTTAGAAGACACTGTGTAATGCAGGGCTGAACTGTGTAGATAATATGTACTACAGGAGTTCAGAGACGGGAGGTCAATGTAGGCGGCAGAGAAGGCTTTGTGAGAACTGGGTTAAAGACAACGCTCTTTACCTTGCATCTGGACTAGTCTTTCTTGGCCTTCACTGTGATTGTGAAATCCTGGTATGAACCTTTCACATAGTTATGGCATTTTCAGTGTTGAGGCTGCAGTGATGTCCTTCATATCACGTCATCTGAATGCCACTTCATCTTTATTGGTACATTTGGGAGGGGTAAAACCCCAATGGTATGCAAACACCGTCATGGATACTTGCTTCAAGCCATGGGAAGTTTCATGCAAAACCAGTTTCTCAATAGGGCAAATGTTGTGTAAAGGTGTGTAAGAACTTGAGAAACGAGTTAAAGGTAGAGCCTGTCACAGCAAGAACCAGATTTGAATGGGGACACTTTCCTGTCTGTGTCAGCTGTGGTCTGCCTCCAGCCCCTCAACTGCTAAACCCCCATCCTTAAGCATTTCCCCAACACGTTGGCCCAGAGGCCAAGGACCTTGTCCCAGGTTGCAGGCACTCCTTATCCCTCACCCCCTCATCTGCCCACCTTCAGATGCCACTCTACTGATAAGAGACTCTAGTTCTGAAAAATTGTTTCAGAATTCTGAACCCTTTCTCACCCTCTCACAACTAAGTGTGTTTCCCTTTTTTTTCAAAGTCTATCCTAAATACATAATCAGGCTACATGATCCCAAGAGATAGTCTGAGTTGATAAGATAGTCTAGTACAGTGGTCAGCAAACTCATTAGTCAACAGAGCCAATTATCAACAGTACAATGATTGAAATTTCTTTTGAGAGCCAAATTTTTTAAACTTAAACTTCTTCAAACACCACTTCTTCAAAATGGGTATTTTGTGGAAGAGCCACACTCAAGGGGCCAAAGAACCACAGTCTAGTAGATTAAATATTCAGTGTTTACTATGCATTTTGAAATAATGCTAAACTGGTGAACATCTTCCAAACTACTTGAAGATGGAAAATAAGTACAAAGGAAACAGTACATGAGTGTGCCATATGCTGAATCAGGGGTAACTGGTTTAGAAAAGTGAGAAAAGAGTTTCATGGAGGCAGGGTTTAGGACAGGCTTTAAAGAATGGGAAGAATTTGGATAGGCAGGGAAGAGAAATTATGCCATTCTAGAAAAGAGAAGTACCATTACCAAAGGCAAGGAAAGTGGAAGATGTTTTCATGAAAGTCAAGGTGGTCAGCCTGTCTGGAAGAAGGGTGGCACAGGAATGTACATAGCAACAATTAGTGGGAAATGAGATCATATGGATAAGACGAATTCATCAACAAACTTAGCAAACATTTATTAAGTGCTGATTAGGTCTCTTGCACATGATAATAGTAATAGCTTACGCCTATTACAGCTTACAATGTGCCAGGCATGTATTAAGCACTTTACCTACATTATCTCATGTGATTGTCACTACAGACCTAGGAGGTATGCACTGTTATATCTCTGTTTTACAGACGAAAAACACGAAGCCCAGAGAGATGAAAGAACTTGTTCCAGGTTACATGGTTGCGGAGTAGAAAAGCCTGGATTTGAACGAAGGGAGTCTGTCAAATGTGGGTTCTGAGCACATTGCCTACCTGCCTCCACGTGTATTTATCTCATTGAATCCTCATAAAATTTCCTATGATGTACGTAGCAGGTGACTAGCCCAAGTGGTTCTGATGAGTATAAAGCTAGGATCTGAAAGCAGGTCCACTAATTCCAAGTCCATTTCACTTTCTACTACAATATAGCTGCCTGGCAGAAGGATTTTCTAGAATGGGATCAAATTGGGGGAACTGAACAGTCTGATAAGGTTAAGAAGCCTACATGGTAGGAATAGGGAAGGACTTCAGGTTTTTAACAGATATGACTTGATTATTAAAGATAGCTCGAGGTCTGGCACAGGAACTCCAATCAGGGAAAGAGTGGACACAGCACCAGATGATATCAGAGGTGGTAAGGATCTAGAAATGGGCATGGTGGGGGGAAGGAGGGAAGGATAAATACAAGGAATCCATCAGATTTTTTTGAAGGAAAATCTGATTGTTCTTGGGGAATGAATGGCATTGAAAGGAGATTAAATCAAATAAGACTTTGCTTCTTGTCTGAATACTCAATGAACTATTGACAGGAGCTTAAAGGTTATAGGAGCTCCTGTTTGTAGCAAAAAAAAAAAAAAAAAAAAAAAATGGAGGTTGTTTTTGGACATGTTGAGATATGTTTGGCAGAACCATGACTGGCACATTCTAGAGGAAATGACCACTATGCAGTCAGGGATGTGGGATTGAAACTCAAGTAGAGAGGAGAAGCTGTCAATCATAGCTGACAACTGAGGTATGCAGGATCAGTGAAGGGGAAGACAAGGCTGATCCCAGGAAAAGTAGGTTTTTCATTGTCAGTATAAGCCAGAAATCAGAGAACAAAAATGCAGTATAATAAAAGAAACAGGCCCAAGGGCAAACAACAGGTCTGGACAAGTGGTTAGGGCCGAGGCAGAGATAAAAATTAAAGGGACACAGCAGCAAATATGGTCTCACCCTGTATCAAGGAGAAAAGACCACTGAATAATTTCCCATCCTGTTTCTGGCATTTTTGGGTGTTCTTCTATTGCAGAAGCCAAACCCAGCTTAACTAATGGGACCCTGCAGTCTCACCCTGCAAACTAATCAAGAACTTTACAGGAAGCGCACAATCTACATTAGTATAGGGAGATAACTGAATAATCAGAAAAAGCCCCTCCACTGAATTGTATATTTAAAACATTGTTACAGTGGTAAAAATTCATGTTATGTAAATTCTACCACAATAAAAAAAAATAAAAGAAAGTACTCTCGCCTATGGATCCCACAAAAATTTCCAAAAGCCCATCTAATTTAGCATCTCCTGGACTTACCCTTTTTGGTTCAAGATCTTGATTTCCTTGCCCAAGTTGTTGACTGTTCTGCTGAGGTGATGCAGGCAGTTAAGAAGCCAGGGAATGCCGAAGCTTACCTGGCTCCTGTGTCCCTTCTAATCTGGAAAGAGAATGGGACAGTGAATTGAGGCTAATGTGCGGTGGAAACTCCTCTTCTGGCCTTTCTGCTACCTCTGTCCTCTTTCCAGAACATTGAGAATGCTATCCTCAGTGTTCACAGCCCCACCCACTGTGACCTCTTCTACCCGAGGAGTTAAGAAAGTGAGACACAGAGCAACTCAGTCAGTACCTGGGAGGGACTTACCTGGGGCAGGAACCTGGGAGTCCTGTGATTTCAGTTCTTGCTTATTGCCCTTCCTCTTAAGATTCTAGGATCCTCCTTCTCACTGGCTTCACGGAGATCACCTCCAAGTCTAGGGCAGCCTAAAGGTACCCCAACGTTCTTGGAAGTAGCTAAATGGGGTTCCCCATTTTACAAGTGAGCAAATGGGACTCCGGGTTGTTGCGTGGCTTGCCCAAGGGCATACACCTGGTTTAATTTCGGAACAAGAAGGAATTACAGACTCTGATCCACTTTCTAAATCTCTTAGTGAGACAAAGAAATTCCAGTTGAAATATTTGGAATTCTATTTTTATTAAAGCTTTGCTTTCCCCATGATTGGTCTCTCTTGCTGCATTTTTCTCAAAAGATGTTTAAAATGTCTGAAAATGCCAGCTTAGCGGTCCAG